GTCAAATACTGCTGATGGGTCAAGTCAGAGGAAGTCTGAAAATTGACCGATGGATTTAGCAACATGGAAACCACTGCTAGCCTTGATGAAAGCATATTTGGAGGAGTGATGGCCTGAAAAAGTCTGATTCAAGTAGGTTAGGAGAGAATCAGAGGCGAACTGCAAACGGCATGCCAATTATTAGTGCCAAATTGGGGAATATATAAATCAAAGACACCATGGTACTGCATGGCCATACTCCAGGGTCCCCTTTCCAATTATCTCTATACTTGGGAGGCCAAATTAGTAATCAGAAAGTTAGTAAGCAAAGAACAAACACCAAAAAGTGTAATGATCCCTAGAATACTTTATCCAGGTCGTCTAAAGGCCTTATGAACTCATCTGCTAGCACAGAAATCACTTCCATAGGGAATATTCACCTTTGCTAGACTTTAGTCTCTCATTGTGGATGGTATTACAGCATGAACCCTAATTCTGATGAAGCACTATGCAGACTATTCAGAGAGTTTATAATAAAACTAAATGCAGGGGGTGGGGCGCCTGGGTGGCTCAGTCGGTTAAGCATCTGCCTTAGGCTCAAGTCATAATCCCAGGGTCCTGGGATGGAGCCCCACATCAGGCTTCCTGCTCAGTGGGAGGCCTGCTTCTCCCTCTCCCACTCCCCCTGCTTGTGTTCCCTCTCTCACTGTGTCTCTCTCTGTCAAATAAATAAAAATTTTTTTTAAATATTAAAAAAAATAATTGCAGGGGGTTTTTTTTGTTTGTTTTATTACATCAGTCACATTGCACTCTTGCGTCCTGGAGACAACACTCAGCTCAATTAATTGAATATCCTAAATTTCATCTAGTAAAATACTTCTTAAGGCAGTGTGAGCATGCATTCCCTACCCTTAGCCTCCCCTGCACAGGATAGCCCATTCTGACTGATGAGCATATAATCTTAGTCAATGCTGAGTAAATGACAAAGGCGAGTTGCAAAAGGTCTACTGGTGAGTTATTTCTATGTAAAGGAGAATCTGGGGGACCTAGAGTCAAGTCAGGAATGCCTAGGCAAATTACTTACATAAGCCTCAGTTCTGGCATTTGTATAATTGGGATCATAATGGTACCTACCTCATACAGTTGTGAGCAATCAATAAAATAATGCGAGTAAAGAATGGGGGTGGAGAATGGGAAAAACAAATTACTTCTCCTGGGTCAGAAGGGCAAAACAAAACATTTACATATCTCATTTACATATCTCATACACATCTACATAAAACTGAGGGTTTTTTTTCATTACATAAAAATGAACTGCAAAAAAAAGGTATCTTTGGGTCAGTAAATCAAAATTCTTACTTCTACGTCAAAGTTGGGTGATGCAGTGGTGCCTTTTCTCCGAGACTTCTCTTTTTCGCCACAAGATTCTCTGTTGGACATTTTGAAAAGCTAAAATAAAAAACACATTAGGTGTTTTGTTTTAACCACCATCACAACAAAATACATTAGAAATTAATCTTCTTTCAGTTATAAAACTGAAAACTTTATAAAAAGACTGGAGTTTTACAAAATGATTTCCATCTTACAACCATTCCCAAGACAACAGGATTCTCTCATTGTTCCACTTTATTTCACTTACAGTCTCCGTCATAATGATCTCTTCCTCTCCTTCAATTTCATCTACCACCTTTTTAGGAATGACCTCTCAAAACTGTGCCTTTAGCCCTGACCTTCTCTCTCTAGCTTCAGATCACCATTTTCAACTGCCTATAGGACTGCTGTATTTTGCCCAACCTATGCCTCAAAATTCTAAGTCTTTATTTTCCTGACACACCCTCCATTCAACTTAGTGTGTAACAGAAGAATCCTGTGCTGGAATCGAAAGGCCAGAGAATGGGAACCTCATCAGGTCTGCTGGGACGGGAAGATATAAAAGGAGTCTAGCAGCAAAGCCCAAAGGAGAGTTTATTGCTGATAGTGACACATATGGAAACTATGAATGTAAGAAAGGCTAGAAAACAGGCAATTGCAAGTACTCATGGTCAATCATGACCACAGTAAGTTAAGTCCTATGAAAGAATGATCAAATCAAACTTTTAGAATGGTTCGATGAATATAAAGAGAAAGAAAATGCTGACACCTAAGAGAAAATCTAAATAAAAATTAATTAAAGAATATTTAATATAGGCTTCTAAGAACAATCCTAATTTACCCCAAAATTTTGCTTTGTAAGATAATGTATGGCAACAACTGAATTCACAGCTGAGCTTCCAGATTAGCGGAATAATCTTCTTTTCCCCTTCTTCTTCGAAGGATTCTATTCCATGTTGGGGAAAGGTACAATAAAAAATAATAATAATAAATTCCATGAAATGAACTGTTTAGAGGCAATGTACTACTTATGTTAACTTCTACAATTTAAACTGATCCACGTTCATCTTATGTTGTTGCTTTGAATACCAAATAAGGCTAAATTTCAACCTCTCACCCATAAGCCAATTGAAAAAAAAAATCACTGCAGATAGTGGACTATCTGAGGAAAAACACATATATGTTTACCATGACAAATGTTTTATAATAGTGTGAAATTCGTGTTGATTTCATGAAAATCAAAATATCAACTCAAAGGGGAGACTTCCTGAGTTGGCCAGCCTCCAAAGTGGCTCCTGATGATCTCTGCTGCCTGGTAATTACACTCTCAGGCGAGTCCTCTCATACTAAATAGCGCTGGCCTGTGACACCAATAGGAACTGCCATATGGCAGTATGTGGCTGGGTCATATAAGACACTGTGGCTTGTGTTTTTCTCTCACTCTAGGGAAAGCCAGCCACCATATCATGAGGACAATCAAGTAGCCCATGGAGCTGCCCACCAGCGAACTGAAGCCCACTGCCAAAAAAGAACCAACTGCCAGGCATGTGAGCGGGTCAGCTTTGAAGCTAATCCTGTAGCCCTAATCAAGCCTTTGAGTGGAAGCATCCCTGGCTGATACCTTCACCGTAACCTCCTGAGACTCAGAACCAGGTCCACCCAGAAAGCCACTTCTGAATTCCTGAGGCACAAAAACTGTGAGGTAATGTTTATTGTTGTTTTAAACCACTAAGTTTTAGGATAACTTAGGCAGCAAGAGATGAATAATACAGCCACTTAATATAATCTTCAAACTTTGAAGATTCCTTTTTTTAGAATGTCTCAAGACACAGACCATGCTTAGAAATCCTTACTAAAATTCCCATAGAATCCACACGCTAAAATCTAACCATTTTCATCTTCCGGTTTCCAGCTGGTGTTAAATAATGAGACTGATACAGTGAATCAAGCTTTCAATTAACCATCTAGCCTTTTGGAAATAGAAAAAAAATCAATGATACTTTGATGATGCATAAATATTATTAGCCACTACTCATTCCCGTAAATTATAACGTGTTATTTTCCCATTTTTAATTGACTGTTAAGAGCAGTGAGGCAGTTATACCTTCAGGAAAACTAGTTAAAAGTTGGCGTGGGTTGAGCATGGCACTCTTAGTTTCTGCTGGGGTCCTAATCTCGGGCAGGTGGGATCAGCCCGGCCTCCAACTCAGCGCTTGTCCAGGAGAGTCGGCTTGGGATTCTCTCTCTCCTTCTCCCTCTGCCCCACTCCCCCCACTCGCGTGCTCTCTATGTCTTAAAATAAATAAATCTTTTCTTTTTTTAAAGTTGAGGTTGAAGGCATTATGAGGACTTTAGAACTATAACTCACTAGGGAAGGAGGGGGAAAAAGCCTACATGTACACTTCCTAACTACTGGGGGGTTGGGAGGGCTGGGAGGTGGTAACTAATTCTGTTACACTTTCAAAGTGCCAAATAATCACACTTGCTCTCACCTGGGCTCCGAAACAAGCAGGAAATAAATAGACCAATGATATAGGTAGGCATTAAGTATCAGCTTTATGAACCAGGAAAAACCCAACTGGAAGTGTGAGTCTCCTAAGACTAAAAGGGGCTTCCCTCTCCTTCCCTGCTGCCTGTAACATTCGGACCAGTCCCGGGAAGAAAGAGCAGCCAGAAAACTCAAGTTTTCCTGTCTGCGCCAGGGGCATGAATCCGTGAGACTTAAGTTCAAGCAGGCCGGAGAGTAAAGGGAAGAGAAGTACGCGGGCCAGAGGACTCACTGGCAGATGCCGTGTGGAATCTGAATCGCATCAACCAGGTGCCGCAAAGCTCAACACACTCAGAGCTCTGGTTATTAAGTCTAACTATAAGCGTAGGGCGCGCGCACAAACACACCCTCTTCTCTACCCACAGAACTCCTACAACCACAGGGCAGTGCTGATGATAACAGGAATATGTAGGTTAAAGCAAAATAAAGACAAAAGGAGACGTGTTCAGGTCACGGTGTGGATGAGGGTGCGAAAGGAAGCGCAGAGCCCGATTCCAAATCAACCAGACTAGCAGAGAAGCTCCTTAACTGCTCGTAAGCCGCCGCGGCCCAGGGGCTCCGCAGAAAGAAACCAGACTCTCGCTCTGAGCGAGGGGCAACTCCACAGGCAGAGCCGACCAGAACCACACCCTTCACTGAGCGGACTCAACCCCGGATCCGCCTACAGAGTCGCCCCGCCCAGGCTTGAGGGGCCTCCGGAATCCTCTGACCGGCTGGCCACCCGCTAGGGTACCGGAGGGAGAGAGGTGGGAACCTGCCCAGCAAAACGTCAACCAGCACCCCAGTTACCTTACCAGTGCCCGCAGCGGTGGCGACTCCGGAGGCCCAGACCAAGAAAAAGGGTCCCCCCTGGACCCGATGCTCGCTGGGAAATGTAGTCCTGCACTCGGACCCAGACTACTACTCCAACGCTCCGAGTGTTTGTTTAGCTTTGCATTTACTTCCTCCAAGGACTTGGAACTCCGGCTCCGCCCCAGCTGGCGCGCTGCACCCTGGGTATTGTAGTCTTGATTCGCTTCCTTGGTTGACGGCTGGATCGGAGACGCACCGTGGAAGCGGAACTCTCTTACCTCATTGGACGCCGTCCCCATTACGTTGCTGCGCAGGCTGTGGTGCCGTCGTAACGCCTCAGGGAAAGGGAAGCGGACGGGACTGCGAATCGCTGCCTCTGGCTTTTTATTTTTCTGCTGACAGGATTTGGTCACTGGTTCTTCATCTTTTGTCTGTTGCACGCATCCAGCCCTTCCCATTTGCTTTCCCACTCCTTGGATCCAGCCCTCTGGGCATTCACGCCAGTTCTCTCACCCCGCCGTGAGCCCCTCCTGGTCCCCGGGCGGGCCTGGCACGGAGGCGGTAACTATGGAGAATATGGCGGAGGAGGAGCTGCTAACCCAGGAGAAGGAGGAGGTGGAGGTGGCCCAGGTCCAGGTCCCGACCCCGGCCCCGGACTCGGCTCGGGTCCCAGCTCCGGCCCCGGATTCGGCCCCGGCCCCGGCCCCGGACTCGGCTCCGACTCCGGCCTCGGCTCCAGCCCCAGCCCCTGCCCTGGCCCTGGCCCAGGCTCCGGCCCTGTCCCCGTCCCTAGCCTCTGCCCCTGACGAGGCTGAAAGCAGTAAGTGCAGGAGGCCTAGATCTTTCTGCCGCAAAGAAGCGAGAAAGTGCGCCTTGCTGGGGAGTAGGGGAGGCCCTTCTTCACTGGGATGGTTTAATGGGGAAAGGCAGGTTTAGGAATGTGGGGGGTGGGGGGAAGGAGGGACCCATGTAGTGGGTAAAGCGGGTACAGAATGGGAGAAGGCACAAACCTCGACATCATGGTGAAGGATTTGTGGAGGCCAGGAGTGCTGCAGATAAAAGGAAATAATGAGGTTGAGGGCTTCTTCGTTAAAGGGGGTCTTTTTCTGCTACGAAGATAGAAGTTACATCAATTTGGTAGTTTCCCTCTCAACCCCGTCTACCATGGTTCACTAAGTCCTTCAAAATGTGAGATGGTAACCAAGGCAGCCTGTTTACTGTAGTAGATCCTAGCTGCCAAGATTTAGAAACCATTGCTATCAACTAGTTTTTATGCTCGATATACACAAATAGATGGGTTTTTCTTATTATTTAATTTTCTTTAGCAGCTTGCTTCCAAAAAGAATTTGAGGCTGATAAGTAGTTTAAGAAAAGGTCGACTAAATTATGGATGTCTTCCCTCAGTCATAAATACCAATTGAGTTTTGCACTCCGTTCCATCAGAAGTGGACTGTTGAAAATTAATAGCCCGTGTTATTGTGCTAATGTATGTGCTTGCATGTTTTCTAAGTGGTGATTTATTGGACCATAAAGAGAAACACTTAAGAATCTTCTGAACACTTTTAAGTGTAAAGTCTAAGAAAGTTTTTTTTTAAAAATTACTTTGTGGTCCATAAATTGACCCTTATGCTCTTTCTAAATTATAACAAAGTAAATTAATTCATTTTCTTTCCTACTTCTAGGACAGTTGCGAATTTAATATTTATACAACACTTGGATAGTTGCAGTCTAATAGAGTTACTTTGAAGTCTTAAAGCCACATAAAAATTGTTATAGTAGATTAAAGAGTAGAGCTGACTGGATCTGTTTTCTCATCTGTAAATTATGGGGAAATTAATTAAATGATTTAAGTCCTTTTCAAAAAAAAAAAAAAGTAGAGCTGATCACAGAAAAGACAAAGAAGGCATGCCTTAGGTATGCCTCTCCTCATATAAGATCAGAGCTAGTAGTTGCAAAATAAGGACAATCGTTTCTTCACCCACAACTGGCGGGGGGAAGGGGGAGGCGGTGGTACACTCTCCTGAGTAAGTAGCCTCCCTTCCTCATCTCTAGATTGAATTTGTTTATACTAATCAGAATTGGTTCAGCAACTTTAGGGAATGTGTGCTTTCTCCACCTCCCCACCAGCAAGAATGTTAAACATAGTTTGGGAAGATACATATTCCACAATTTAAAGTATGTAATTTGAAGAATGTATGATGTTTGAGAAACCTGAAAAATGCATTACTGGGGCAAATATGTAATGATTGAGAAATCCAAAATGCATTAGAAATATGTATTAATCACATTTTTAAAAATTATTTTTATGTGGTCTAGTTAGTCCTTTGAAATCAGTCTTAACTAGGCAAGATGAAGATGGCATATCTGAAATAGAACTGAAAAATGAGGAAAAGGTATCAGAAGTTGTAAAAGAACCTCCTAGCATCTTGGATTCATCTGATTTAACAAGAGGTTTGCCTATTGACTTTGGGATTATTAGCATGTTACAAAAAGTTTGAGTGATATAAGTACAGATTGTCTGATATCTACTGTCTTGAAACAGAAGGTGATTTGAGAGGTGTACATACATAGGAATATCATGAATCTTTAGACAGATCTTTGAGAGTTTTAATAGTGGACCACAGGATTTTCATTGTTCTCTTCTAACTTACCAGGGCCGTCTCTTATTTTGTACAACTTAGAATGATCTCAGTAAGCACAGGCTTATATAGTACTATATAATTTCACATAAACAGAACTTTGAACTTTGGAAGCAAAAGCCTTTATGATTGCAAATTCACAGGATTAATTTGTACACATGGATTCGTTGCCTGAATCTTGCGGTCTCACCTAGCAATTAAGTTTTTGCTCATAAGGGAAAAGTTTTGCCTATTATAGAAATTACATCTTATTATAAAGTCATTTGAACAATACCTGGTATGACAAACGATAAGATTTGTTGCTCTTTGTTTTTCTTATTTAAAAATGAGGTAAAAATTTGTCTTTTAATAAATTTCAGCAGTAATGTCTGGTAGTGCTGAATTCCAAAATTATTGACTCCGTGTGCTACTGCATCCAAAAAGACCAATGCTTTTTTTAAATTATTTAACAAGCCATAGTGCCTGCTGTGTGCAAGATACTGTACTAGGCATTTAACCATTACAAAAATGAGGAAGTCATATCCCCTGCCGCTTACTGTTTATTTGTGGGGGAAACAAACAAGGACACAAATTATATAGAAGGGTGAAAAAAAGGAACTGGGAGTGAAGCTTGGAAAGGAATAGGCAGGAAGGTAGCAATACCAAGAACAGAATTTAAAAGGTTTTTAAGGTTCTAAACTGTATAACCTAACTGAATAATGAGTACTAGAGAGCCTTATGGTTTACCATCATCTCCTCTCTGGTTGGGGATCTTTTCCTGCCAATTTTCAGCTCCTAGTCTTCTTGTATTTGTATATTCAAGCTCCTACTTTGTAAACATTACTTTCCTTTGGGTTATGGATATTCAGGTCTCTCCTTAAAAGGAAAGAAAAAGCACCACCTATCTCCTTTTTTATACTGCCACACTTTTTGAAATAATCTATGTGATTTTCTATACTTTATTTCTTCTTCCAATCCCATTTGTATTCTGGAACACCTCACTGAACCTTTTTTCTTTTTTTTTGTTTTTTTTAAAGATTTTATTTATTTATTTGACAGAGAGACACAGTGAGAGAGGGAACACAAGCAGGGGGAGTGGGAGAGGGAGAAGCAGGCTTCCTGCCTAGCAGGGAGCCCGATGCGGGGCCAGATCCCAGG